TGCTAGGTGGCGACCTTGGCCCTGGGTCACTCCTGTTGTCGCCTGGTGGTCAGGTCGGCCACGGGGCCTGCGGGGGCAACTGCCGGGCAGGTCTAGGTGGTGGGACGGGCTCTGAGTCTTGCTGGGGAGTGGCCGGGTCACGGTGCGGGAGAGCACGCGGCATGGCCCACATCGCGCTGTCCTTGGGTGCTCCAACACTGTCATCAGGACTGTGTCTCTCCCCATTGCGCCGGAGCGATGTCCCCCAGAAGCTCCGACTTTCCGCTGCGCCAGACGAGCCTGCCGTCCCTGGACCAGTTATGGTGGTTCTGATTGGCCCGGCCTGGCCTGAGTTAGCCGCTGCGCGCGTGGTCGGCCCCACCTGGAACGCAGGAAAGGAGGGGAGGGCTGGATCTCAAAGGCGCCTGCGCCTGCGGCAGCTGGGTGGGGCGTGTGGACGCCGGGCAGGCTGACACCCGGCAGGTGCCTCGAGCCCCCTGACGTGCCGCCCCCTTGGCCTGTGTTGAGTCACGTTTCTGCCACTCATGTTAGGGCTTCTGCTGTCGCGTGGTGCCGAGTCCCTGTGCCTGGGAGGGGCTGATCCTCTGCGGTCTCTCCGAGGGAAGGGTGGCATCGCACACCGATCACAAACGCCCACTCCTGGGTTCACATCCCGACTTCGCTGACTAGCTGTGTGGCCTTGGGCAAGTTACTTAACCTCTCTGTGCTTCAGTTTTCTCATGTGGACGATGGGAACAATAACAGCACCTGCTTCACAGGGTTGCTGGGAGGACAAGAGCTCACACGTGGAAAAGCCTCAGCACAGCTTTCCTTGCCCGTAGTTGGTTCTCAGTAGATGCCGGAAGTCATGTTCTTCTTTCTGACGTGCTCTTTGTATATTGAGGGGATTCATTTCTTGTCTGTTAAATGTATCACAAATTTTATGTTTCTACAATGTCATTTGTTTTGTGTCTTTGTTACGGTAATTTATTTTTGCTTTGCAGAATATTTTAATATTTATACACTCAAATTTATCAGTCTTTTCTCGTGACTTCTGGATTTTTGTGTTTCCTTTTTTTGTCTTGCTGAGAAAGACATGTCCTCCTTTTATTTTTTGGCTGGATGAGGATTCAGTGCTCACAGGAAGAAGAATGGAATCAATTTGCCAATATCGCGCTTATTTCTTCTTCCTGCTGCTTGTCCCCGTTTGTATTGACCTCGGAGTCCGCGAGGCAGAGCTCCTTAGAATGCTGATGCCGAAGGCTCATTGTGAGTCTTTTAAGACTCTGTGGAGACGAGAGTTAACATTTAAGTAGAAGCTGTTCCTGGACAGAAGCCTTTGTTTTGCGGGTCGAGTTAACCAAACGGAAAGCGAGGTCCGACCCTGCAGACTGCCTTCAACCTTCCCCTCACCTAACACCACACGCAGTGCTGTTATTTTTTAATTTTTCTTTCTGGACAGAAAGACATTTGGCCGAGACGGCATCATTCTGAATTGAGTGAAAGGAATTTTTCAACACAGCAAAGTTTTTGGAAAAAATTAACTTTCCTGAATCCTACTGGGAACGTGTTTCATAACAGGAATTTCACAACGGGCTGTGCTCATTTCCCTGCGAATCTAGCTGCTTCCGAGCGTGGGGAGACGCGGCCAGAAGGCTTGGGGGGTTTCCTGGCTTCTGTACCCCCAGGGTACAGCGAACAGCGCACCCCTCAGACAGAAGCAGCCTCTGGGTCTCCTTCCCCCTCGCGCGGCCCTTGCAGGGAGCGGGCGCGGGAGAGGAACCAGGGGAGGCCCAGCCAGGCCCGGGGACAGCGCCGTCAACACCCCTGGGCCTGGCGCAGCCTCCCGAAGCCTCATCCCTTTGCGGTGGGGACCCGCATCGCGGGCCATTTGGGGGACTTTTGCTTTCCTCGGCGGCCCTCAGGACGTGCCTTCGTGACTTGGAGCCTTCAGGGGTCCAGAAAGGTCCAGGCTCTTGTACTGTTTTGAGGTTCCTCTTTATTAAAAAATAAAATGGAGACATTCCAAACCAGGATTATAAAAATCATGCAGTTTTCCATGTTTCTGTCAATCACATTCGGGCTTTGAGCCGGCCAAGGCACAGCACAATACAGTTGTCGTAAGACGTTGTCACAAGGCATTTGAAGGACTCGTAACAAATACATTAATTTTTAAGGCGTCACAGCAAGGACGGCTGGTAAGGAAACACCAATTTATACATAAACGACAAGTGTCTTCTTTTAATTCAGTGACTCTCTAAGAATCTGTCCGTAACCTCATTGGAAGATTAGCTCTGAAGCCTAAACTTGGTTCCATCTATATAAATAAGGTCCGGGACAAAGGTGTCGCTGCCTCTTCCCTCGGCCCCCCTCCCCCACTGGGGGTCCTCTCTCAGCGTCCCGAGGCCCCCTCACCGCTAAGCCGGGGGTGGGGGTGGGGCAGCCGGATTTGCTTCCAGCTTCCGCAGGCAGAGTCCAGCCAGGTGGCGGCTTAGCTCGCGCACGCACACGCCGTCACACGCACACGCCGTCACACGCACATGCCGTCACACGCAAAGACAGGCCAGGGGGCGAGTGTTCCTGGAGGCAGAATAGAGCCAATCGGAGCTCCGCAGTATTGAGCCCCCAGTTCCCCCGAACTCCAGCCAGGTCTGAGCCGGGATCGCCCTTCAGCGAGGCCCCCAGACCC